AAGGCTGGCAGTTCAAACCCATCAGCCACTCCTCGGAAGGAAGGTTGGGCAATCTACTTCTGTAGTGATACCACCTCGGAAACCCAAGGAGGGGTCACTATGCATTGGATCTGACTCGAAGGCAGTGAGTTTAGTTTGTTATTTTGTGGTGACATAGTGCCTAAGGCATTTGACTACTAACCAGAAGGTTGGTGGTTCAAGCCCAACAGCCACACAGGGGAAAGAAGACTGGGAATCCACTTCCATAAAGATTTACCACCTCGGAATCCCAGGAGTCACTATCAGTCGGAATCAACTTGATGGCAGTGAGTTTGGTTTTTGTTTTACTCCTAGACATGGTTTACCTTGGGTTTCCAAAGCAGTATCTCTATGGAAGTAGATTGCCCAGTCTTCCTTCGATATTATCACAATAAAAAACACATTTGCATGTGTCTTGAGGGCAGCCAGAGATTGAGAGAAGAAACCTTTTTTTAAGGAGATCTTGTTAAGCACTTGGCTGCTAACTGAAAGGTTGGTGGTTCAAACCCACTAGCAGCTCCACAGGAGAAAAATGTGGCAGTCTGCTTTTGTAAAGATTACAGCCTTGGAAACCAGATGGGGCAGTTCTACTCCATCCTATAGGGTCACTATTTGTTGGAATTGACTCAGTGGCAATGGATGGACTGAATGGCAGTACCAGCAAACCCTCAGTCCAATCCTGAGCATACCTGGGTGATTGGTCACTGTAACTCAAGGGAAGTGCCATTAAAGATAATTGTTTAAGACAGCTGTTCTGCATGAAAGATTTGACTATCTGCTTTTCTCCATGTTATTTGTGATGAGAATAAGAGATCCTCATGTCAAAGTAACACACTTGTTCATAAAGAGACTGTTGTAGAAATATATTCCAGAACAAAAGTGGACCTGAAATTTTTCTAGGATTGTACAGCAAGGGTGAGGTAGACTAAAAAAGTGGCAGTCTACTCTTAGTGTTGACCAGAAGTGCTAGAATAACTTGATATTACAATGTTTAAGGGAGCCTTGGTGGTGTAGTGCCTAAGGCATTTGGCTGCTGCATGGATTTGAGGAAATCAAATTGTAATAAAATCTATTAAAGTATGGTGAGTTCTTCATTAGTTACTATACTGGAAGAATATAACACAGCATAAATAAAAGCAGACAATGAGAAATGATAAAATTCAGGTTTGGGCCCCAGAAGCAGGTAGTCAGGGACACATTTAAGCCTCTCTCTGGGGCTAACCCTCATTCTTGCCCCCTTCTCTCACTACCAACCTGGAAACTGGCAGGTTGGCAAAGTAGAGATGGAGGTGGGGTGGGGGGTGACCCTGAGTTAAAGACTATAGAGAATTGATTTTTCTTTTCATTTTATTTATTTATTTTTAATGTATTTTATTGGAATATAATTTATGTACAGTGAAATACACAAAACTAAAGTAACATGGGTCAATGAAATTTTTTTTTGCAGTGTTCCCTCCCTTCCCCTCCCACCCCTGGCAACCAACAAAGAAAATTTCCCTCCATATATAAACCTTTCCTTGACCCTCCACAACAATGAACTAATACTGTATTTGTCCTGTAATTGACTTATTTCACTCAGCATAATGTCCTCCAAGTTCATCCATATTATGTGGTGTTTTACAGACTCTACATTATTCTTCAGTGCTGCATAACATTCCATTATGTGTCTGTAACATAGTTTGGTCATCCACTCTTCTGCTATAAATCTTAGAGATAAATCCCTTGCCAGATATGTAATTATTGGCAAATATGAATTTGTTGCTATCATTTTTGTTATGTGCTTTTTCATGGTGTTGATTTCTTTGTTTCAAATAATTTTCTATGCTGAGCTTGTTTTGTTTATGAACTGTGTTATCACTTCCTTCATTGCTATTGTTTTAGTATTTGCTGAATATTTATGCTGATCCTCCTTTTTGATGTGAAGCTTTATCATTTTTCTTTGAGGTTACCCTGTGATTTATAATTTTCTTCCCAAGTTTAGAACAGTCCATTCTTTCTTGTAGTTGTCTTGACTTCCCTACCATCTAGAAGTTCTGTAACGACACAGTATTTCCCCTCTTTTTTGGTTTGTAGTTGTCCTCATTTGTCAATTGATGTCTCTGCTTCCCTGTTTACAATCTTGTAGGCTTACTTACTTTGGATACTTCCACAGCTGGGTTGGTTTCTGGGTTATATCATCATGTCTGTTAATGGTCAGTTGTTGATGGCTGTTGTTGCTTCTCTGTCTGAAGGGCATCTCTTGTAAGGTTGGTCTGGTTTTAACAAATTCCCGTAATTTCTGCTTATCTGGAAAGTCCTAATTTCACCATCATGTTTGAGGGTCAATTTTGCTGGGTACATAATTCTTGGTTGGAAATTTTTCTCTTTCAGAGTTTTATATATACCATCCCATTGTCTTCTTGCCTGCATGGTTTCTGCTGAGAAATCCAAGCTTTGTCTTATTGGTTGCCCCTTGTAGATAACTTTTTATTTTTCTTGTGCTGCTCTCATGATTCTTTCTTTGTCTTTGGTTTGGGTGAGTTTGATGATGATATGTCTGGGTGATTTTCTTTTGGGGTCTATCCTGTTTGGGGTTTGTTGAACTTCCTGAATGGATATATTCTCATCTTTCTTCATACCAGGAAAATTCTCTACCAACAAATCTTTGACAATATTCTCTGTAGTTTTCTTTTTCTCTTCCTGTTCTGGAATTCTGATTACATGGAGGTTATTCCTTTTGATGGTATCCCACATGAACCTTAGGCTTTCTTCATTTTGTTTTGATCTTTTTTTCTGATTTATCCCTTTCCAAAGAAGTGTTCAGGTATTTGCCTTTAATCTCCCTAATTCTGTCTTCCGTTGATTCAATTCTGCTCCTTTGCCCATTCAATGTTTTATCTGCTTCTGAAAATTTAGTATTAATCATTTGGATTTTTGTGTGTAGATTTTATATCATTTCTCATTTTTCTTTTATTTTGTCATTTTGTTCTTGTATTGTCTTTTGAAATTGTTCTAGGGTTTTCTTTGTGTTTTCCTTGATCTGTCTCTCAATTTGTTGAAGATACCTAAATATAATTCTTTTGAATTCCTTATCAGGGAGTCCCAATGCTGCGTCTTCCTCAGGGATGTGTTTTGGGTCTGTATCCTGGTCCCTTATTTATCCTGCTTTATCTTGCTTCTTTGTGTGGACTGTGATGCTCTGTTGTCTCCAAGGCATTGTGATGTTTTTGTGTTTATATTTAATTGGTGATTGTATATTGGAGTGACTTGCCCACGATTCTTGTTTTCTTTTTTTGCTTGCATGTTATCTACACAAGCAGGGTACTGTGCTGTGCTCCTGTATTCACTAGTTGACAGCACCTATACACTCACCACCTGTCTCCTTTCCTGTTGTCAGCCTCTCATATGTCCCTGCTGACCATGGCAAACAGAGCCTATTCTTAGGTCCCTGGAATCCGAATGAGAATGCTATCACTTTAAAATCCAAAATGGTTGCCACTTGTAATGATTCAAAATGGCTGTACCTTCAGTCACTTTAAATATCCAAAATGGCCACAGCTTGTAAGCATTCAAAATGGCTGCACCCTCAGTCATTTAAATATTCAAAATGGCTGTCACATGTAAACAATCAAAATGGCTGCCCCCTCTGGACACTGGAAAGTCAACAGTTCAGGTTGTCTCCCTCCTTGCTGTTTCCCTTCCTAATCATAGGCCACCAGCGCAGTTGTCCCTGCAGCCCTTGGTGACCAGGGCTGATCTTTAGGTCAATTCTCAGGTCCCAACACCACTTGGAAATATTCAGGCTATTGGTCCCATCAGAGTAGCTGACAGTCTGAAGCTCTGTCTCTGTACTCACTGTTTTCATTCAGTTTTTTTCACTACTTGGTGCCTAATCCACTTCTGTATAGTTCCTTTCAAAGCTCAGGGCTCCAGGATTATCATCTGTATCTCTGTCAACTGGTTTTTCTTTTCTTTGTTGAAGAGGGTCTGTGTCACTTGTCTTCCTATTCTTCCATCTTACCAGAAGTGAGATAATTGATTTTTAAACAAGGAATATAAAGAGCCTTCAATACGTGATCATGAGGAGACTATCATCTGTTTCTAAGTGCTATGTGATTCCACACAAGTACTTTTGCAGACCTTAGTTTCCTCATCTATAGAATGGGGAAATAGGTCTTGGATGTGGCAATCAAAGATCCTTTTACAGCTACAAAGGGCTTCTCTTCTCCCAGAACTGGTGAAAGTTGGCTTTTGTCCATGTGCCTTGCTTATATAGGAGCTCTTGCTTATATAGATACCCCACATTCCTTGTAATCAGTATACCAAGATTTTCTGAGGGACTGAATTGAGCAAGCATTTCTTGAGCAGCTATTGTGTACAAGGCACATGATCAAACACCTCTTGTTTTCCAGTGGTTCACACATGAGTGGGCAAGGCAGACATACCTTCATGTCATGAATATGAGAAAGATGTAGTATGCATTTAATAGAAGTACAGTTAAAAGCAATTCTACTCTTAGGTAGACCTCCAAAAGACTTGAAAGCAGGCCCTCAACAGATACTTGTTCACTAATGTTCATTGCAGTATTAGTCACAATAGCCAAAAGGTGGAAACACCACATCCTACTTTGGTGAGGAGTGACTGGGATCTTAAAAGCTTGCAGGTGGCCAGCTAGATGCGACAATGGGTCTTTCCTCATCCAGAGCAAAGAAAAATGAAGAAAACCATAGACCCATGGAAACAATTAACCCAAGAAACTGGTTCATCATGAGATCAATCCTCAGCCTACACGACTGTGAGACTAAAAGAACTAGACGGTGCCCAGCTATCACTGTCAACCCCTTGGAGGGGGATCTATGTAGGAGATCCTGGATAGAGTAGGAGAACAATGTGGAACAAAACTCATAATCATTGAAAAAAAAAAAAGGACCAGGTTTGCTGGCCTTATAGAGCCTGATGGAACCACTGAGACTATGGCCCCTAGCTGCCCTTCAGGTCTGGAATTGAACCCACTCCTGTGGCTTCCAGCCAAACAAAAGACAGGCATATGAGCTGAACATTTACATTAGGTAGATACACTCCTTGGAGAGATCAATCATGGGAGAATAGAAGGGCTGTGTATGCACAGGGAGACAGCTTGCGGGGGGGGGGCAAGAATGCATGGGAGGGAAGGACACAGGGAAGAGGTTAACTATGGGAAGGAAGGGGGAGGGGAGCTGTTGCATTGTGGTAAATTATAGTCAACATCATGAGACAGAGTGTATGTGAGCTGCTGTATGGAAAGTGAGTTTGCTCTGTAAACTTTCACCCAAATCACAATAAAATATTTTTTTTTTTTTAAAGGTGGAAACAACCCATGACTTGTTTTCCTGGAATGGTAACAGGTTGTGTAGATCCAGTCATGTAGATCCATGTCTCCCAGGAAACCAGGGGGACATGCTTTTGATAGAGAGAGCCAGGATAGGTGGCTCAGGAGCAGGTCCAAGATTGAGCTGAGGGGCCTTTGCACAGGAAATCACTGGTGTTGTGCGCCAGAATGACAATTCTACATTCATTGAAGAAAACAGCTTCAACCAAATGTTTCAATTCTTCAGGCATTTTTAGAAAACAATGCTCATACTTTTTATTGTCAAATTGCTATATACACTTTTCGTGTATTTATACTTCAGAATTTAGAATTGGTTACTCCCCTAACCCAAATATGAGTGAATGAATTTATTTGTTCATTCAATCACTCACCAAATGTTTATTGGATACTTACTGTGGTATTTGATACCTACTAGGACCTGGGATGAGCTATTAATCAAAAAGGCACGGTTCCTGCCCTCATGAAAATTTTAGTCTAGGAGTAAGATAGATATTAACCAAAATATGACTCTACTAGGAGAGTCCACTGAATGAGGGGTGAACGGAACTCCAGGTGCAGATGATGGGAACATTGACCTCCTCACCAGGACGGTGCTCAGGAAGGATGTTCCTGAGAAATCTGTATTTGAACTGCCATCTGAACAGTGGGCAGTAGTTCACAAGATGGTGATGGGGTTTTGGGGTCACAGCATTCTTGACAGAGGGAACAGTATTGGTAAAATCCTTATTAAGAAAAAACAATCTAGTTATTGTCATGTCAATTCTGATTCATGGTACCCCTGTGTGTGTAAGAGTAGAACTGGGCTCCATAGGATTTTCAATGGCTGATTTTTCAGAAGTAGATCACCTTAAAAGGGGCATCTGAGGAACTGAAAGGCACTATAGACCTGTGGTTAAGTTGGTTCTAGGTTGCTAAGATAAATGCAATATGAAATACAATCCCTGTGGTAGCAAATATATGGGATTAAATTGAATATTAAATGTTTTAGATTACATTTGTTCATTAGAGAAACAGGTGAAAAGCACAGTAAAAGGAAGAAAAAAAAATCATAGCTGCACACCTAAACTAAACCATTCGTAACATCTTGGTTGTTTTTCATTCCTATATTTTCTCTATGTGTAAGTGTAAGAAAGACATTGAAATTACATAATGGGTATCATTTTGCATGTTGCTGTATTTTTTTTTTCTTCTAAGTTATAAACATCAACACATGTTATATACTTGAGTGAGCATTCTATTTAGTATTGCATAACACTCCATCCTGTTTACTCCATTGGGCAGGTTCCATCCTAGTTTTCAGTCCACGTGGGAGAAGATCCATGAGAGAGTATGCAGTCTTCTGACATCCCACAGGGCTCAGCAGCCAAACCAAACCAAGGTGAGGGCTTTGGATCAAATGTAGTCTTTGCTAGCAAAATACTAATGAGAACTTGGACTGACAGGCTAGTGGGGGAGATGGCCATTAATCATGTAACCACTGAAAGAAATGTAAAATGGGGATGGTTATAAATGACAGTGCATGGTGTCCTGAGAACATATGATAGGGATATTTGACTTGGTTGGGAGTCAGGGCAGGCTTTCCCGAGGAAGAAACAATCAAACTGAAGGATGAGGAGCAGCTGTTTGAAGCAGAACAAGCATCAAGCAGAAGTCCTGCTGAGGGAGGGAGCATGGTAATCTTAGTTTGCTAGTGCTGCTGCAACAGAAATACCACAAATGGGTGGTTTGAAAGAACAGGAAAGTGTTTTCTCCCAGTCTGGAGGCCAAAAGTCCAAGCAGGGTTTCAGCTGTGTTGACTCCTTCCATGGGCCTTTCCCCTAGTTTCTAGCCTCTGGTGGTGTTTGGTCCTTGGCTTGTAGATGAGCCTGACGTGATGTCTGTCTTCCCCCTGTATATATCTCCTTGTTTGTTCTGCTCTTGGTATAACTCAGAAGTGATTAGGTTTAGCATCCACTCTGCTCTGTTATGACTTCATTTATAAAGCAAAGAAAACTCATATTTCCAAATAGGATCATATACACAGGTACAGGGACCAGGTCCTCAGTTCATATTTTGGGGGACACGATTCAATCTATCACAATGGTGCTTTCAAAGGACCGAGCAAGGAAAGTCTCTCTGGCCCTCAAACTGGCCATCGGCACCTTTCCCTTTTCCCAACGCACAGGAACCCAACAAGAAAAGGACTCAGCTGTGCTTGTGGTCTTCTAAAATTTAATGAAGGGTTGCCAGAAGAACTGAAGAAATCTGTCTTAGAAGAAGTACATCCAGAATTATTCTTAGAAGTGAGAAAGGCCAGACTTCATGTGCTTTGGACATGTTATCAGGAGGGACCAGTCCCTGAAAAAGACGTTATGCTTAGAAAAGTAGAAGGTCAGCGGAAAAGAGGAAGACTCTGAATAAGATGGATTGACATAGTGGCTGCCACAATAGACTCAAACATAGCAATGATTGTGAGGATGGCACAGGACCAGGCAGTGTTTCGTTCTGTTATATGTGGGGTCACTTTGAGTCAGAACTGACTCAGTGGCACTTAACAACAACAGCAATGAAGTCTTTTTGACTATTTGATTTTTATGGGGGAAAGGAGAGTGTTTCTAATCCATAGAGGGGTAGACCCAGTACTTTGAGTCTACTGTAGATGTATAGCAATTAGCCAAGTGACATTTCACCATTTCAAAAGAATTCAAAGGAAAGGTTAACTAACTGCTCCTAGGGGTTGAATTGGTCACCTTGACTTATTTAAATGCTGACATATCCTGGATTTATAGAATGACACTTACAGATGAATAAATTGCCCTAACCATGGAAGTGGTGAATTATTTTATTTCCTCTTTTCAAAATTGTGGGCT